GTCCCCCCCCAAAAAAAAACTGATTCGGCTGACTAAAAGTGGAGAATTTTCAGGCTGGAGAAATTGTCTGCTGTGACGTGCCACCCAAACAGCACATGCAGGCCTTTCAAGGTAGGTATGAAGAGACTCTATTCTGACTCTCAAGTTGACAATAAACAGAGATGAGAGAGAAAAACATGTGACCGACTGACAAAGCCTGCTATTGGGCTGACTATTTGCCAGCAAAGAAATAATTGAGTGTTGATGTGCTGTTACATTTCTCGAGCTCAGATGACCACAACCAGAGCTTTCACGCTGCCTGGTCAGTAATATCCCCTAAATACCACGACAGAGCGGAGAAACGACTTCAGGATTATGTTTATCTGTTGTTTCATCTGTTAAAATGAATGTTTCATCAGGAACAGAGTTCAAGTCATTAGAGGAAACATAAAAGCATCAAGGCAAAAATAAAAGATCTAAAGTACATCAGAGGAAGTGCAACAAGGGCTCTGTGTTTGTTCAAATTAAAGTACAAACATGTTGATTGTGTGGGAAGATTGCTATGATGAAAACCCCCCGACATCCAGTGAGAGAAGGAGTGCTGTATCTCTGCAGTGTCCTAGGGATTAATATATGGAGGCAAACCCTTCAGCACTCATAAGACCATTGGTGTCCTCTGGCATCCCTTCAAAGAAAAAAAATCCACTCCCCACAGGAACTGATATCATTATGTGCCGATAGTGCAACTTTGGCCATGGCTGAGTCCATAATCTATTCTGCGCGCTGATCAATAAATATGATTCAGCGTTACTGGTCGCTACTCCCTGCATTCAAAGATGTGGGCCATGTGGGGAGCTGGAGCTGGTGGAAGATTTTTTTTAAAAAAGGCCTTAATGTCCGCACAACAGAGACGGTTGCTATGAAACCGAGTGCATCAGTTCATCTGGCTCAAGCTGGGGCTTTGCTGACTGAGGAGGGAAAGGCAACCTCACCACTGGGCAGTCAAGTGAGAGAGGGGGTGAGATAAGGCCGCTGTATATAAACCAGGTCACCAAAGCAAAATGGAGAGCTAAGCAGCCATGAGCAGCGCAGCGTGGAATATGAGACCCGGTGTGGCTGGAAACTGTGAGAAGGAAGCAGAGGGCATTTCACCCCAAATGAGTTCTCGAGGCCTGCGCATGCACGAGATTTCACGCAGAGATTAATTGGCAAGGGATTTAACGTGAAAGATGCTGCCTCATGCTATTCAAGCATTGACTTGTTGCAATGTGAAAAGCTCCTTAGATATATTAACATAAAGAAGTGTTTCACAGTGGGTGTGATTGGCTTGGACGTGCCGTTGAAAGTGTTTTTCTTTTGTGAATTGACCTTTTTGTTCCGCAGCATTTCTGAGTTTTTCTGTTTGGTGGGCTGTCACAGTATATGTCTCTTCAACATTGTATCAAGTTTAACACTCAGAAAACTCTGCTCATCCGTTTTACCTCTATGGGTGTGGTGTGGATTTGACAGTGACCGAACAACCCACCAGATTACACCAGATTAAAATGATTAAAATAATTAAAATTACATCCTGATTGGTACAGGGAAGTATGCAACATCGACTCGTTCCAAACCTGAGAATAGCAGAGGAAGAGGAAGTGAAAACAGTGCTGTAGCCTTAATAGTGTGTTCATGAACAACCTCATTGCTTAAATAGTAAAAAAAAATAAAAAATCCCACTGAGGAGATGATTTTCAAGGCCCTTTAAAGAAATGTGAAGGGCACTCTTACAAATATATTCAACACAATCATCTTCCCGGTTGTTTAGCATTCTGCAGGTCTCCATGGACACACAACCCTGCTAATGAAATACGTTGTGTGATTCGGGAATGGGTAAAATATAACAAATCAAATTGTAATGAAACGGTGAAAAGCTAACAATTTCACAATACCTGTTCACACACCACCCTCACGGATGCTTTACATGCTCTTTGAACTGGTTTTTACAACCCACAGTGAGAGAAAATGACCAAAATTGCAAATTGCAACAGTTCTCTGATTACCTTTGATGTGTATTGTATTCTCAGTTTTAAAAGCCTTGCCAGAGTTAGTTTTTTTATACACACCGCACAACACAAAGTGTATTATTAGCTACTCCGTAGGGATATTCAAATTTGAATAGGAGCGTGTGTGCTTATTTGTGCACATTAGCTGGATATTCTGGTCTGGACTCGTCTTATCTCGTATCCTCCATCTGTTCCTGTGCCTTCATATCAAAGGCCTGAGACGTCGATAGTGGAAAAATCAGTCTGAGCTCTGGTTTGTTTAATTGCGTGTGGGTAAGCGGACACGAGTCCTTGGGCGGGCAAACATTTATGCAAGGTCCTCAGAGGACAAATATTGTGGAAAACTATTTAAGCAGTGGCGCAGCCAAGGGGTGGCCAGGCACCCTTATGCAATCAGTCTGCATTCACTGTTACAATCATTCAAATCTGAAACGATTAGAGTCTATGCAGCACAGCCCAGTCAGACCCAGGTCAGAGCTAACCGACGCTGCGCCATGATTGGCCGGTCTGCGTTCAAGAGCGGGACTTAGCGGAAGGTCAATTAGTGCTCTCGCATAGCCTTTCTGGCTACCCCATAATCACAAGGGTCTCAAGGGGGGCTAAGCAGAGGGTGCAGCAGTGGTGCCTTTGCAAAATTGATCGCGCAGATTGCGGAGGGGGGGGGTTGACACCAGGCTTATACCCATATTCTACATCTGGTGAGTCAGGCTGGATAACGAGTAACATTAACTGTGAAATAAGAAAGCAAAGTATGCGATTCCCTAACTCTCAAATTGACTATATTCTACAACAGCGTTATAGAATTTCTGAAAGCAACTTTTGGCTTTTGGTTTAGGTGAGCCCCCCCCCCCCCCTTCTAGATTTTTAGTGGCCCACCCCGATGAACACTTTCCGGGGGCCGCCCCTGTCTTTTTGTGCACCGAGCGGGACATAAAAACTGACATCTGTTCACCCGACTTTCAGATGCTCCTGCGGATCATAGAGCAAATTAGCATCTCCAAAACTGCTAATTAATGATTCAGCAGGCCAGTCAAAGAAGTGAGCCCACATGAATGATTAAATATGTGCTAACCTAATTTAGGGCCTAATCCATAATGAATGAATTACACTGTTTAGTCATAGCAGAGAGAGAGAGAGAGAGAGAGAGAGAGAGAGAGGAAGGAGAAGATTTAGACATCAGAGAATAGCGAGACTTGTGAAGTGACAAACAAATTATTCTGCCTCGGAAGGCCTCAACCTCACCATTGAGTCATCTGCAGTCACTTTCAAGCCACAGCAACCTGGTCGGCTGGTGGAGGTGTAACCACGGCCAATTAGACCGATGCTGTCACCGCGGAGCCAACTGAACTGCATTCATTTTAGCAGTCACCGCGTTCCCTTTGTCAATCTGTGGCGGTTTATTTGGTGTGTGGTTGTTTCTCACTGCTAAAATTGCGAGGGACGGTCATTCATTAGCAGGTCTCCGTGCGAGAGGAATGAGAGGGAGAGTTGGTGTACTACAGCAACACAGAGAGAGAGAGAGAGAGAGAGAGAGAGAGAGCGAGAGAGAGAGAGAGAGCACTGTAATCTAGAGGTGAGGAGTAATGTCAAAGAGAAGAGACAAGTGAAATCGTGGAGCTGCAGCCAACCAGTGCAAATCCCCGTGGAGGAGAAAATCTCAAAGTGACAGCTTTCAATTACAACAGTATGAGGAAACGTGTGTGTGTGTGTGTGTGTGTGTGTGTGTGTGTGTGTGTGTGTGTG